TATAGGTGAGTGTGGTGGTTCGTCACGACCTAGCACAGTACCACGAGATAAAGGACAAGCCGGGCGACGCGTTCTACATTCGCGCGGGATTCGACCGCTGCGCTAAAATCACCTCAATAGGCATGGACACGATAGACGAGTACTCCCTGTGGTTCCGGAAGGACGAGGTGCTGTTCGTGGACAACACGCTGTTCAACGGCGCGCCGGGACTCTGGCGAGCCTGGCAGCTCGACGGCAAGGGCATGAAGAGGCATTGGGGCACTATACCTAGTAAATTTAAGTGAGTTCGTTTTCATTTATCATGTATTCCTTGGAGAGGCTGAATTGAATCTTATCGAAGGTTAATGAAATTTATGAGGTTTTTAATAGTTTTTGAGTGTTGCGTGTGCAGAGTGGAGGAGGTGCTGCGGCGGTCGACTGGCGCACTGGACAGCGAGGCGCAGCGACGCGCTTCCAGCACAGCGCGGCGCTCGTTCTTCCGGCGCAAGAAGCACCGCGACAGCAAGGAGCTCGCCTCCTTCTCCAACACCGAGCTGGGCTGCTGGAGCGACTCCGGCACGCTCGCCGAGGACGTGCCGCTCTCCTACCAGCGCGTCGAGCGACTGCATTGTTAGTACATTATTAATATAACTACACGATGTAGCCTTGTCTTATGTATTTTAATATAATTGTGTGTACTGTCAGACGGCAGCCAGCGGCCGGTGGTGGTGGTGGGTCCGCTGTGGGAGTGCGTGGCCGGCAAGCTGGTGACGGACTGGCCGCACGTGTTCGCGCGCGCCCGCCCCGACCCGCGCGCCATCCGAGACCGCGCTGACAAGGTGCGCCACGCCACGCCACGCCTCCTCACCATCTACTATACTTCAATTTCTTTTCACCTTTTCTGCTTTACCTAACTTATTGAAACTTATTCTTTACAGGGCATCCACTGTATCCTAGACATAAGCGTGTCGACGATTGAAAAGCTCCACAAGCATCAAATATACCCTATTGTGCTGTTCATAAAGTTCAAATCGTTCAAGCAAATCAAAGAGGTGAAGGACACGCGATACCCCGCCGACAAAGTATCAGCTAAGGCCGCTAAAGAAATGTACGAGCACGGACTTAAAGTTGAGAACGAATATAGGAATTATATTTCTGGTAAGTTGACAATTTGCTGTTTTAGCCGGAATATTACCATTTTATTCACTTACGTTTCAGTTTTATAATTTCCATTGTAACGTGATGTTTGGTCGCAGCGGAGATCCCGGCGGGCGTGAACATCGCGTACATGTGCACGCAGATCAAGGAGGCCGTGGAGGAGGAGCAGAACAAGACGCTGTGGGTGCCCTCCGTGCAGGCCTGACCCCTGCCCCCCGCGCCCGCGCCCGCGCCCGCCC